TCAATATATAGATATGACATTTATATGTCTATAGCAAATAATTATTTAGTTACGAATTTTGTGATCACGTAACGAAAATGTTAATATATTTGCTATGGATATTATTTTTGTAGTAAGAATTTTCAAGTTTTAGTTATAAATTTATATTTGTGTAGTTAAAATGCAAACATAGCTATACTGACTATTCTCCATGGCTATAAAGGCAAGACTTTTGTTACAAGCTCATTCTTGTTATAGCAAAAACATGTAAGTTTTTAGTTGCATGTTAATCTCATCCATAGAAAAAAATATAAATTGTTAGTTATGTAATTAAAAAGTTACATGGCAAACTTTTAGTTGTGCCACTTCTAGTTACGATAAATTACAAAACATTGTATTTGTAGCTAAACCATTTAACTATGCAAATTTATATGTTTAGCTACAATGAAAGTCATGGCTAGAAATGCACAATGTTGTAGTACATGTTAATTATAAAGACAAAAGTAGGGGTGATCACGGGTAACGGGTAGAACCGAAACTTGCGGGTAGAACCAGAATTGAAACCGGAGTCGACCCTGAACCAGCACTGTGCGAGTAGATTCCGGTTCCATTTTATTGGAACCGATATTGTGCGGTTCCAGTTCTGGTTTTTATATGTGGAGGAACCGAAACCGAAATTAGAACCTGGAAAAAAGAACTTGAAAAGGGTACCCGGTTTGGAACCTGTAGTGGATACCTGATTTGGAACTTGTTTTGAAACCTGGACTCCAATGAAATATTTGTGAATAATGGGGGGTTTCATTATTTTACATATAAAAAAATTAAAATAGAAAAAATTAAAATTTTAGAATAACCTAATTAATTAAATATACAATGATACTTATTACATTTAAACTACACCAAATTAAAAACTTTAATATATTATAATATATTAACATTAAAGTTTTGATTAATTAAGTATATAACTGTAATTAGAATCCAAATAAAAATGTTTTAATGTTATTAAAAGAATCATTTTTGAAGAAAATAGTATATTTGATTGAATAATAATATATTTAGTTATTTACTTCAATTATCAAATTCTAAGTATATCTATAGTAAATTAGCAATTAATTAATTATATATGATAAATTGATAAACATTAATAAATTTAATTACTAGTTAAATATCATACTTAATCAATTATAAGAATTACATTATAGGAAATTTTATTACTATTATATAATTTATAACATACTTAATTGATTATAGTATAATTTATTATAGTATTACATTAATTGATTACTACTTAATTAATTGACTTATAACATTTAGCATATTACTTAATTAATAATTAGAAATTTAATTAATTATAGCATTATTATAGATTTATAATATAATTACTTAATTACTTAACTAATTATAACATTCATTACAAATATTAGTACAATACTTAATTAAATGATTAAAAAATAATTAATTTATAATATTACATTAAAGATTTATAGTGATTATTTAATTCACTATAACATTACATATAGATGATACATATTATATATAACATTACATAATTAAATGATTACTTAATTGATTATGATATTATATTATAAACATTAGTAATTACTAATTTACTACTAAACATATGCACAATGCTTAATTAAATGATTAGATATTTAATTAATTATAACATATATATAATTTATAGTACAATTACTTAATATTATAGTACGATTACTTAATTAATTGTAACACTAATTAAATAATTATTAATTAATTATAATAATCTATCATAAACCAATTAATTATAAATATATTAAAGATTTATAGTATGATTACTTAATTCATTATAACATTTCATTATAAGTATGATTACATAATTAATATAACATTACATAATTAGATGATTATTAATTGATATGACATTATATTATAACATTAATTATAACATTACATATAAAAAAATGATTACTTAATTAAATGATTAGAAATTAATTAATTAAGTATTACATTATAGTAATAAATTACTTAATTAAATTATAACATTATTTATATATTATGATCACTAATTAATTATAACATTATATAGTTAAGATTACTTAATTAGTTATAAATTATAACATTACATTATAACATTAGTAATTACTTACATTATTATATTACTTAATTAAATAATTAAAAATTTAATTAATTATAATATTACATTAAAGATTTATAGTATGATTACTTAATTCACTATAAATTACATTATAGTATGATCACATAATATTATAATATTACATAATTAAATAATTATTTAATTGATATGACATTATATTATAAACATTAGTAATTACTAATTTACTACATAAACATTAGCACAATACATAATTAAATGATTAGAAATTAATTAACTATAACATTATATTATAAATTTATAGTACGATTACTTAATTAATTGTAACATTACATTATAATTAAATGAATACTTAATTAATTATAACATTTTATAAAACAAATTAATTATAATATTATACTAAAGATTTATAATATGATTACTTAATTCATTATAGTATGATTACATAATTAGATGATTATTTAATTGATTATGACATTATATTATAAACATTAATATAACATTACATTATAAACAGATGATTACTTATTAAATAATTAGAAATTTAATTAATTAAGCATTATATTATAGTTAAATATTACTTAATCAAATTATAACATTATTACATTAAATTAATTATGATCACTTAATTAATTATAACATTACATAGTTAAATGTTACTTAATAGTTATAAATTTATAACATTACATTAAAACATTAGTAATTTACTATATTATTACATTACTTAATTAAATGATAAAAATTTAATTAATTAAACATTACATTATAGTTATAGTATGATTACTTAATCAATTATAACATTCCGTTTAAATATAGTATGATATGCAAATATAACATTTCATTATAAACATTAGTATATTAATTAAATGATTAGAAATAATTAATTAAAATATTAAATTATAAATTTATAGTATGATTACTTAATTCATATAACATTACATTATAATATGATCATAATTAATTATAACATTATATAATTAATGATTACTTAATTGATTATGATATCATATTATAAACATTAGTAATTTACTATATAAACATTAGCACAATACTTATTAAATGATTAGAATTTAATAATTATAACATATTAACTTACATTATAAATTTATAGTACATTACTTAATAATTGTAACATTACATTATAAACAAATAATTACTTAATTAAATTATTTCGTATTATTATAACATTATTACGTTACTTATATTATGATCACTTAATTAATATAATTACACAGTAAATGATTACTTAATATATTAAATTTATAACATTACATTATAAACATTATTAATTATCGTAGTCATTAGTACATTACTTAATTAAATGGTTAAAAAATCTAATTAACTATAACATTTATATAAATTATAGTATGATTAAAAATTAATTATAAATTATATTATAACATTAGTACAATATTTAATTAAACAATTAGAAATTTAATTAATTATAACATTTTATTATACATGTATAATATGATTACTAATTAATTATAACATTACATATAATTAAATAATTACTTAATTAATTACAATATTATTATGTTACATTATAAACTAACAATTTATAACATTAATTAACAATTTGCAGATGAAATTATTTGTTGTCTTGGTTTTGATTGAAAAATTTTATGTGAATTGATGAATTGATTAAATGCAAGGGTTGCCTAGAGATTAGAAGATTTATGAGTACCTTGGACTAAATGAATGAGTAATCAAAATTTGTTAGGGGTGTATTTATAAATTTTTAAGGTATTTTTTATCATTTTTTAAAGTAATAGGGGGTAATTTTTTATAAGGTACTTGGAAAGGAACCGGAACCTACATTTTTAGATTCCGGTTCCTTGAATTAAGAACCTATACGTGTGGTTCCGGTTCTATTAAAAAATACAGGGTACTCAAAACCACTCACCCTAGACGGAAGTGCTAAGGATCAAGATATATTGATCCTAATCGACGGTCTAAGTCAGCAATTTTAGTAACAGAGTCAACAATAGATTAAACACAGAGTCAACCAAGAGCTCGTCTAAGCTGAGCCTGTGTTCGTATATGAGCTGATGTAAATTCACATGCTTTTGGCGTGTTTTACAAGTACTAATCGATTATATATGTTGTATTCGGTACTGGAATGAATGATGAGCATAACTAGGAGATGACTAAATGTTGAATCGTGAAAACTTCGAAACATACTACCCTGGCACATTGATGCATATGCAGCAGAAAGAACCCACTTTGATAAATTTGAGGTATTTGATAGTTGAATACCAGTAATTAGAGGAAGAAACCTTGAGTATCTCATGCAAACCAATAACAAGAAGTCCCCAAAATCGAACGAATAAGAGCATTAAGCCACTGCTATTCTCTTTGTTCTTTATTTGATTTCTGCAGAGTCTTTTAGGATGTGGTTCCGGTTCCTCATCAGATCCGCCACAGCAACTCCCAAATCTGTCAGCTTGCTCGTTGGTGTATTCTTCTAGCACTGCTTCCCCAGAATCTTGATTATGGTTGCCAATTTCTCAACAGAAATGTGGCTTCGATCACGTCAGGTTGTGATATAGCGGACATACACCACAGCATTTCACCTTGGAACCGTTGATGTTCCTCACGGGATATTTTTTAATTGGTTGAACTCAAATAAGGCTGTGTATGAACCATTTAGAAGTTTAACATCCATACAAGGACTATACCCCAATACCAAGTGATCCGACTCAATTATATGCCATCTGGCAAGACCCACCAATCGCGAAATTGCAACGGAAGTGAGCCGTATGGCTGTAACTGCTTTCAAATTGGTAACTACAATTAACATAAATTGCTTCATCATAACAACTCCTCATTAAAGGAAACAACAGCACAAAAAGCAATCCGATGAATCTTCTATTGCACCAATGCTGAGGTAGCTGAATAGCTACTAAAGACCAAACTTTGATATCTGAACCAGTTAGGAATTTACTTCCAGGTAAACATAAACTGACTGTTGGTATCTCATCACCTTCCTGTAATATGAAAATTTATGATTTATGATAAGAGAGGGAAAAGGAGGGAGAGAGAGAGGAGAGAGAGAGTAACCTTTTCGTAGCCCACTCTGAGTAAGTAGTTGCCATAAGTTGAATTCTTCGTTGTGAATCTGCCAAAGTATTGACGAATGCTTTCTGATTTAGATTCAGGCAGTTTGTGAACAAGAAATTTACATCCAAAAATGGATCTGAGCTGCAGTTTTCAAATACTCTTTCAAGTTCGGATGATCTAATCTTTTGGATTGAGGGAAGCTCTGGTAGTGAATGAAGCCGCTTGCAGTTTACGGCCTCAATGTAGTCTAGACATAATGGAAGCTCTGGTAATGATAAAAGCATATTGCAACTCTCTAAGTATAGTTTTTTCAGCCGAGAAAGCTGCTTGAAATTGGTAGGGAGGGTCTCAAAAGAGTTTCCACATAAATCTAATGATACCAATGAGGATGCACAGCAGAGATGTTCTGGAATTTCTGTTAAAGCGCAGGAAGATAAATCTAAATATCTTATCTGTTTCCACCGCCAACAGAGGAAGGAAGTTGACATATAGCAGTCTTGGTGCCTTAAGCTTTCTCAAAAATATTAAATCCCCCAAGTTGTTTGGCAATATATCAAGTTTTGAGCAACCTGAAAGATCAACTCTCACTCAGAGATGTTAAATTACAAATGCTGCTTGGAATAGTCTGAAGATCCTTGCAATCCCGTAATTCCAAAGAACGAAGCCCAATTAGATGTTGAATTGAAGACGGTAGTGCCTTAATTGCTGCTCCACTTAAATTAAGATCTACCAAATTTTCATTTCCTCCAAGATTTTTGGGAAACTTTCAAGTTCAGAACAGTTCAAAAGATAAAGAACATGAAGGAACTTCAATTTACAAATGCTAGTTGAAATTCTCTTAAGCCTTGTGCATTTGGTGAGGTCTAGTATAACAAGCTCACTTAAACATTCTATTGAAGAAGGAACTTCTTCAATTGCGGTCCATTTAAAAATAGATGTTCTATATTCCCCGAAATCTGCGGAAACTCAATGAGATTGATGCAAAAGGAGAAATCAAGAGTTGTACGAGAAGCAAAAGAATGTTACTTGGAAAGCTTTTAAGATTTTCGCAGCCCCGTAAACATAGGAAACTGAGTTTAGCCAGATGTTGTATAGATGAGGGAACCTCAACTAAGCTTCTGCATTCTTCAAGATTATAATCTCAAGTGGGGTGCTTCTGACAGGTCTGGCATCTTAATCAGGTTTTTCGATATGAAGATCAATTGACTTTAACTTGAAGGCATGCTGCATCAAAGATAAATTGTTAGTTATATATCAAAAAAAGAAAACGAAAGAAAGATGTATTTGAATATATTGTACCTTTGTTCCTTTCCAATTTTTTAAGATTGCTACAAGGTAATTTAAGTTCAACAAGGTTCTCCGGGTAAATTTTGACGGCAATGTCTTCGTAGGATACCCAGCCCAATAGAGATACCTCAACTTTCAGAAAGATACTTTAAGCCTCCATGAAGCTTACTTTGGAGATATCCACAGACTCCTCGTAAAGGGCATGATTATAGAATTTAATCAATCTAAGATTACCATATTTGCAAAGGCTCTTGAACTTAATCTCAAATCTTATTTTGGACATATTTAAGAATATACCTTCAACTAAATCAGTCCCCTGATAAACCAAAAGTAAGGAACAAGTCAAAATTAGAATGGATATCTAACATTTGATTGATGCAATAATAAGAAATATATATATATAGAAATTGTTAGATCCTACCTTATTGTTTTTCAATATGTGGTAGACATCTCATGATCCCAAACCTGCTACGTTTGCCAGGTTCTGTTATAGATTTTTGATAAACAATATCCCGGCCCATTTCTTGTAATAAATCATGCATTTGCAGCTTGTTGCCGATATTGTACCAGAGATTTATTCATGAGGCTACTCAATCCAAATCGAAGAGTAATGACCATCCAATAATTCGCAACATAATCTTTATCACCCCCTTTAAAGAAACATGCAATATCAAGAAATAATTCTTTTCTTTCCAACTTAATCCCTCATAACTAATTTTCAACACATCATAGATTTGGGGATCACAAAGCATTTTTAAGTTATAAAATGCATTTCCCTTCTCGTTTGCTCTTTTGGTAAAGGGAGGCGACAATACTTTCAGCCCAGTGGGTTGCCATTGGCAAAATTTAGTATCTTGATCGAGAGCTCCCGAAGATCTTCCAAGGTGATTTTCTTGAAGGCATGGTTACAAAAAAGGTGAAGAGCTTCATTGTAATTCAATCCCTCAACCTCATATATGCTATGCACTCCATAACTATGGAGCACTTGCTTATCTCTCGTTGTTATGATGATTCTACTTCCTTGACCAAACCGATCAAGCCCTCCAGTTAAAAATTCTAATTGCTTAAATTATTTACATCATCGAGGACAATGAACACCTTTTTGCGTTGAAGTCGCCTTTGGATATATTGTGTATGATAGGAGTGCCTATGTTGAGATTTTCTTCCAATACCTTTGAAAGAACTTGGTCTCGTACATGAAACTAGTCCATATTTTTCCAATTTCTCTAACATTATTACTGAAGCAACAACCTTCAAATGAGCTTGAAATTTGGTTGTAAACGGCTCCTGCAATGGTGGTTTTACCTATACCCCATCCAAATTCCTAAAATTGAAAATCAAACAACCCAATGCATAATAATGATTTAACTTGCTCGATACGAGAATTTAATCCAATTAGGCCACTGAAATCATTAGAGGATGATGTATCTTTAATTTTCTCCAAAATGTCTTCAACAATTTTGTCCACAAGTTGTGCCTCGGGCCTATCCATGTGAAGATTACAATGGTGTAAGTAGAAATCAACCACCAAAAGCAAAGAAATTAAAAAAAAAAAAAAAAATTGTAAAAACACAAGTAAAATACACATTTTTCCTATCCACCGGCAAACTGAATGATATAAAGTCAACTTACTCAGCGTCCCCTCTTTGAAAGCGGGCTCTTTGTTACATAACAATGCGAATTTTTAATTATTACTTAAAAGAGAAATTATTAATTATTTAACTGCATAAATGAATAAGATCATGCGATTCATCCCAATTTTGGATTATGGAAAGTAAGTATCTAAAAGGGTAAAACTAATTCAAAAGCATGCTTTTCCATCTCTTTACAAAACCTGGAGAATTATTTTCATAAGTTTTCTCCTCTAAATGAATAAATACACAGACTCATTCACATATATTTCGATATATGTTATAATAGAGTAGAAAAATCAGATTTACTTGGTGACAGGGAACCATCTGACAGTTGGCAGCTTCAGCCAAAGCATCTCCCCATTTTTGAATTTTCTTTCATCTCCTTGAAGCGCTCTTCATGCTTCACAAAAGAATCCTAAAACTTCCGGTCTGCCTACGTACATGTGATGGATCTACCTGATAGAAAAATGGTAAACCATTTGGCCATTCATTCGTTTGCATTCAAGGATCTTTGCTAGTTCATCTAAGACCATCGGGAAGAAGCGCAGTCTTTTGAGAAAATAATGACTGAAATCTTTGAGTCTTCGATTGCTTTCAAAAGCACAGGTGAAATTATCTCCCCCGCTTGAGTCCTTCATCATCAGAAGGTTTCAACTTGTTTTCGAAACAAAGCGCATAGAGATGGCTTGTAAAACTATTACGTGAATCCTCACCTCTGAAACTGAGGAAAACATCATATTTAGTTTGGTAAATTGTGGAGAAGAAGAGAAGAAGCCATAAAAGAAAAGAAATACGACTCTTTGAGAAATATGATAGGACTAGAAGAAGTTTAGTTACCACAAAAAAGAGAGATGTGCGTTAAAAATTCTGCTCATAAATTTTTCCACACGACCTTTTTGCCCATAAAATTTCTTTTGAATTTATTTCATATATTTTTCCATAATGACTTTTCGTCAATCATTTTCTCTCTCTTCAATTATTGACGAATTGTGGAACAACCCATATTTGAAATTAAGCAACGGAATCAAAATGTTGATGAAGTTTGGCTCACCTATGGTCAAATTGGAAATTCTCTCTTTTCATTTATTGTACGTTATGGGCAGCAGCATTCCATGGTTGCATTGTTGTCTAAGAGAAATGAACTTGTAAAAAAGTCTAAAGGAATCTTCAGCTTTTCCCCTTTATTTCACATCACAATCTAGGTGGGAAGAGACTAAGAAGGTGAAAGAAAAAAAAAACAAAAAATAATTATTTGATATATGAACCTTTACCATCACCGTGAACCACCACCGATGCGTAAGGTGTTACCGATCGATGATCTATCTATTTGGGCGGGTTCTAGCCACCATCAGGCAACAACTGGCCACCTGACATTATATGCAGTGGACTAGTTGAAGATTGTGTTTGAAAGGCCGAATAACCTTTTCCCACCCTAGGTATCTCGAAACTACAAGTGGTACCTGGGTTTGTAAAACCATTAACGTTCCACCCTTTCTTCAATTTCACCGTTAAAATTAACAATAAAAAGGCATTTAAGTCCTAATTCTTCTTGTAAAAAGACAAAAATAGCCATATGACTATTTTGTTGTCGTCTTTTGCATAATAAGTTGCTGATATTTCTTGTTGTTATGAAACGATGTTTATGAAATTTTTATTTTTATAATCTAATTTAAATTCAAGGTCTAACAATATAACGCCTAAACCGGTACCCATGAGTTACTATAACTTGAAAGATTATGAAATAGATTGTTCATTATGTCAAATTTGTAGGATGCAACGAACTTCCATTACAATTTGTCAAAATAGTCTTGTACTATTGTTTCAGCTTAAAGAAGACAGAGGCTAACTAGTGCAACAGGGCTCACCACATTGGCACATTGTTGATAAGACAAAAGTTTAGGTAAAGTTAATTACTACACTCTTTTCAATTGAGCTTGGGATGCAACAGTCAGCCCACCCTAGGTATGTCGAAACTACAATTGGTACCCTGGGTTTGGAAACCGATTAATGTTCCACCCTTTGTTTTTAATAAAAGCCTAAAAAAAAATCTAACATTAAAATATTACCTTTCAACCCAAATACTCTTAAACCTCACAAATCAACCCTAAAACACAATTTAAGACTCAAAAACTAAAACTAAAAATAAAAATAAAAATTTTACACCGCCATGGCCAAATATATTATGGCCCAATATCATGTCCGGCCTATGGCCAAGCCCGTACAAGGCCCAGTTGAAGAGACTTGACCCAAAAGCATTAAACAATATGCTTAGAGAATCTTTCCAAAGCCCAAGCCCGTACAAACAGCGGATGTTTGCTGTCTCGATACCCCGAAAACTAAGGGAAGCCTGCTTGTGTAAGAGCTTCGGCTCAAGCATCTTTGGACCAACTCTTCAGTGCTACACTAACCCCCCAAACAATTCAGTCAGCTCATTCGCCCAACTCACCGACACCTTCGTTGAACAATTCGCCAGTAGCTAGCAAAAAACTCGAGAAGCTATCAGTCAACCTATACAGAGTATACTAGAAGAAGAGGGAGTCATTGAGAGAATACATCAACAGATTCAACAAAGAAAAAATCTCCATCCCCTCTTGTAGCCTAGAGATGGCAGTAGACACCTTCAGAAAAGGTCTTCTCCTAGATGGAGAACTATACAAAGACCTGACGAAGCTCGACTGCACCACGAGGAAGACGCCCTAGCTAAAGCTGTGATTCAAATAAAGTGGGAGGAAGATGAGATGAATCGGATGAGGCATGCCAGATATGACGACCGTCACCAAAGGCAGAATGATAGAAGATCAAAGTCCAGATTGTTTGAGCCTCGTTATCAACCC